CCACGCCTGGATCTCAGACTTCAGGCTCCAGCACCTGGACGGACAGACCGCCCATCGGGGGTCTGCGGGAAACTACTGCAGCCACTGCCCCCCGCCCCCCTTGGGACGGGTCCGGGAACCCAGACACCTTCCAGGACACGTGGCTTCTTCCCACACCTGGACTCGAGGACAGTAAGGCAGAGCCCGCCTTACAGACCCCTCCCGGGGGCCCCCACACTGATCAGGGTGGCCCAGGGTGCTGCTCTCCTCCTGGACCCCTCCCAGAGCCTTTTCTCACACCATCCACAGGGCTGCCTCCTCCCTCTCAGAGCTCAGCTCCCACGCTGTCCCCCTGAGAGTCCTTCCCCACCCTCCTGATCTAAGTCACCCTCTCAATAACTCTAGTCCCAAGCGACCCGGATCTTGTGTGTCGGTCTGTTTGTTTCCTGCTTCCCCTGGTGAGAATACAGTCTCCAAGGGGGCGGAGAACTTCTCTGCCTTGGTCACGGCTTTATCCCCAGCACCACGGACACTCCCTGCCCCTGTGAGGACACCTAACTACCCACTAAATGAGCGATTTAATCCATGTAACAGGCAAGAAACAATTGGATGAAGATGGGGCACAGTCACCCAGGAAGAAAGCCCTCCTCCCTGCCCTTGAGCCCCAAGGCAGGCATCGCAGGGCAGAAACACACTGAGCGGCAGGGACAAGGGGATAATCAGGTAAGGGCTGCAGAAAGGGGGAGAAGGACTGCTGGGGTCCGGGAGACACCCGCCCCCACCTCGCACGCTCCTCTCTCCCGGGACGCCTACTCCTCCTCCCCCGGGAAAGCTGCGGTCACGAGGACAAGCTATTGCTTTCCTACGAGGAGGACCTTGAATCCAGATCAATGTCTGCAAAGGGCACCGGTGCTGTCCTCCGGACGGAAGACAGTGACCTGGAGGGCGGAACACCTGGAGAACACATCAGGCTGTGGTCGGGGTGGGGGGTGAGGTCGGGGGTCATGTGCATGTGGACGGTGGGTCAGTTCCAATGCTTTTTATCACCTCCCCTTCCGGCCCCTTGAAAAGAGCACATCACAGAGGATTATGGTCTCATCTTCCCGGTAGGAGACTCTGCATTCGAGGGCAGGTCTGTGAGTTCCCAGAGCTCCCGTGTGTGTGGCTGGTTGGTCCTCCTTCTCAGGAAGCCATCCGCCCCAGATGACAGACGGACACTGGACCTGAACCGCTCTTACCAACGCAATGACCCGTTCTTCTGTGGACAGTCTGCGGCGGGGGTCTCCTAACACACGCACACGCACACAGCCCTGGCATACAGGCACGCAGCACGCCGTTCCCAGTTCCTACCATGTCATACAGGAAGTTAGCGAGCCAGTACGTCCTGTAGCCGAGGCCACTTATGTGCTGCAGCCTCTTGGCTCCGGTCACCCTGTCCCTCACCACGGAGCTACCGATGGACGCCGACAGGATGGAGAAGCCCAGCACGATGCAGAGGGCGACGCCACACTGACGGATGCTCTCCATGCTGCGGGCACAACACAACAGCTCGTCAGGGTCACAGGAAGGGCACGCGTCTTCTTTCCCTTGGTGACAACCAGTGATGAGGGGGAGAGCACTGAAAACCACTAATCAGGAACTTAGGGGGCGCAGGGCATGCTGGCTAAGCACGAGGACTCTGCCCCTGAGTCCCCTCAACGGCCCTTTGAGGAGGGGTGGGCGATGCTCCCAGCTTCTAGAAGGGACAACTGAGGGGTGCAAAGTGAGGGGACATTTCAGAGTCTGCCCATCTCGGAGTTCACTCTAGACTAAAATGATAAACTTCCGCAGCGTGGCGTCCACAGGGAGCTGTGGCCTCCGGCCACGCCAGAACCACATGCATCTGTGTGCTGGGACACCTGCAGGGACGGGGAGGGGGCGTTAGCTGTGGATCCACAGGTGGCTGGCCCATCTCTGAATTTTGTCTCTCAAAATATCAAAACAATTTCGTAACAGAGAGAGGTGTAGTAATAATTGTGATAACACACACAGTGTACTTTCTTGGTCATTTTTTAACCGGACTGACCCCTCCCTAGCTACAATCAGCGCACGCAGGTGGCCGACGGAAAGACACCGCTCATTGCAAAGTGTCCACTGGGTGGCATCTTCTCTCACCCAACGAGCCCACAGCTACACTTGTGGCCAGTGTCAGCTGCACCATGGGGAAGGGAGAGAGGAAAGGAGAAGACAGGAAGAAGCATCCCAGCTTCTAGGAGGGAACAGGAACTAACACTTCGCTCTGAACGGGGAGATGAGCGGCTTTATCACCACCCGTGACTCCATGTGTCTGTGAGCAAAGTCTGGCATGGGGAACTCTCCAGAAGGCCTCACTACGCTCACTACACGAACACCGTGTTTAAGACTTACCCCAGGTGGGACGCCTGGGTGTTTCAATGGCTGAACATCCGACTTCAGCTCAGGTCATTCATGATCTCGAGGTTCGTGAGTTCGAGCCCCGCGTCGGGCTTTGTGCTGACAGCTCAGAGCCTGGAGCCTACTTCGGATTCTGTGTCTCCCTCTCTGCCCCTTCCCCACTCATATTCTCTCTCTCTCCCTCTCTGTCTCTGTCTCTCTCTCTCTCTCTCTCAAAAATAAATAAACTCTAAAAACAGTTTTTAAAAAAAGACTGTACCCCAAGTGCTTGGCTGGCTCAGTCAGTGGAGCGTGTGAGCCTTGATCACGGGGTTGTGGGTTCGAGCCCCACATTGTGGGTAGAAAGGACTTAAAAAAACAAAATCTTTGGGGCGCCTGGGTGGCATAGTCAGTTAAGCGTCCGACTTCAGCCAGGTCACGATCTCGCGTGTCCGTGAGTTCGAGCCCCGCGTCGGGCTCTGGGCTGATGGCTCGGAGCCTGGAGCCTGTTTCCGATTCTGTGTCTCCCTCTCTCTCTGCCCCTCCCCCGTTCATGCTCTGTCTCTCTCTGTCCCAAAAAAAATAAATAAACGTTGAAAAAAAAAATTTAAAAAAAAAAAAAAAATCTTTTTTTTTAAAAAGCCATTCTAACCCAAAAAAGTGTCTGGAAGATGTGGGGCCCCTGAACTTCAGGAAGTTCACTCCCTTAGACAATTTTGACTTAGAAAAACTGGGGTGTGGGATAAGCTCATGTCTTAAACTCGGTCAGTGCACATTCCCTTAACACTCATTTTCTTTCCACTTTGCAAAGAAGCGCCCAAGCCAGCCCACTCTGCACAAATGCAACAGGCCGGCACCCTGGAGCCACCCAAAGACTCTGTTCCGCCCTCACCCAGTGGTCCCGAGACTCACATCTTGTCCTCGTTCAGCAAGGCCCCTCCGTACGGATGGCTGTACAGAGTCACTCCTGTGAAGGAAAAATGGAGAGATGAGCCCTCTGCCCGCACGGTGAGCAGACCCCGTGCCCGTGAGGCGCCTCCTGTCCACTCGGTCCAGGCGTGACCCACGGGGACCCAGAAGGGCAAATGCACTGTGCATCCTGGCCAGTGCGGGGACCCTGCAGTCCTGTTGTCAGAAACAACCAGCACGTTCAGGACGTGCCTCGCACGGCAGGCGCGGGGCTGACGTTTTATGGCCCAATCCTTACAAGCATCCCTGTGGCGGAAATGATACATTAGCCACATTTTGTGGGGGTGGAGGAACGGACTCAGGAAGACTAAATTACAACAGGCAAGGGGATTATCCGATGGAACCAGGGCAATAATCAAAACTTCCCCTCTCGACCAAGCCACGTCTAGACAGAGCAAAAACCGAACCGTCTCAATGGCCCAGCTGCGTGCGTGGAACTCCTTCTTCGGTTTTTCATCGTTCGACTTCTGGGGGCTTGTGCGTTAGTGTAGACAACAGCCAACACGGAGAAATCTCCACCAACTTCTCAGTTTTAAGGATCTTACCATAAAGGCTGCTCGTGTCATCACACGGCCTTCCCCACGCCAGCCGATGGCAGCCCGTTGGGTACCCAGGACTCCGGAACTTGAGGCAAACGACTTGTGTTTCACCTTATTGTCCAACATGAGCCAGTCGGTTTCCCTCCTCTGATTGGCTGTTTCAAATGCCCGCAGCTACATGTGTGGGGGCCACCTCCACGGGCACGGTTCCTGGGCAGCCTGTGTTCCTCTTCCCTTTGGGCTCCCTTAATGAAGCCCATTATCGTGTTTTGCATTCTCTTACGGCGGCATATTAAATCCTTCCAGAAACGCCGCAGGGGTAGGAGTAAACATAAATAAATTAAAAGGTACAGAACTGAAAATCGCTACAGTTCTCCAAACACCCCACGGCTTTGCCACCAAAGAGTCCTGACTTGCATTCACGGGCCACCTGCGCCCCCCTCCGGTGATGCCAGCTTTTCCCCATCCGTCGTGGACTCAGCCACAGGCCGAAGCAACTTCTTTCACGGCAGAAAGAATGGTGGAGCCTCCTGGTTCAGCAAGCCCCACTGTGCAGTGTTCCAGAATGATTTCTTTGACTTTAAATTACTATCTTCCAGATGTTCTGCTGGGGGCTCCCACTGTGTGTGCCGAATGCCGGCCGTGCGGTTTCCTAGATCACATCATGCACTGGATTTATTTACGCGTGTGTCCTGAACGGAGTTGTGTGGTCTTGCCTCCCTGCCTGTCTGGACCCGTAACACCTGGTTTCCTCCCATCTGTCTCTTTCCCTGAGCTTAGCGTCACCCCTCCTCACAGTACGTGCCAGCCCCCACACCCTCTAGCTCAAGGGCGGCCCTGCTCATGCTGTGCAGGGACAGACACCGTCAGCAGGCTGTGCAGAGGCTTACAAAACCGTGGGGCCCTCCCAGACGTGGCAAGTGTCCCGCTGGGTGCTGGGAGTGGGAGGCATGTGCATTCAGTGCTTCGTGTGGCTCCTGGCTGCGCACAGGAATGAGAGCTTTCTAGATGAGACAGCATGCAGAGAAACGCGGTTAGCTGACGAGGGCTTGGGAAGCGGATGCTTCTAGAAATATGGGAGGATCTTGGACTCGATGAACCTGAAGATACACTCACACACACACACACACACACACACACACACACACACTTGGGCAAGACACAGCATGACGCACCTTCTGACAGCTAAAGAACCGCCACGAGGCAAGGAAACGAACTCGGTCTATAATGTTCTGGAGGATAGATTTTGTCCAAGGAGCCAGGTTCAAAACGTATAGCAAATCACATGACTAGAGGGCTGGCGCGG